TGACTCCAAACAGGATAAGAGAATAGAAAAACAGAAGTACGTTTGGAAGATAAGAAAAACTTGATTTTCTTTATTAGTGGTCATAGTCACTTCATTAGCTTTGACAAGATGAGGTCACCAATATAAACAGGGGCAAAGCTACCTTAGAGGAACTGGTGTCACGTGACACCACTTTCCTCTAAGGCCTTCCCTATATACTAAGGACCTGTGTAAGATTGTGCTGCTTGGAGGCAGAGAGGTTCCAACATAGGAGGGGACGATTGCAAGGAAGATGAGAGGCGAGTCTTGGTGCTGTTTTCTTTTGTTTTCAATGGAGTCTGGAGATAAAATTGAAGCGGGGGAGGGTGATGATCAGTATTTATTTTGTCCTTCTGCTGAAAAGTTAGGGCAACAGACCAAAAGAGCGAAGGTCATGTGAAGTGTTTGGATTTTTTAGATTATTCTAACTGGTTTAAGATTGAGAGAAAATAAATGAAAGGCTAGGATTTGATCTAAGATGATCTAAATAAACAACAAAATTAAGAAAATAATGACATAGTCTAGCGGTTAGATCAGGTAAATTTAAATTTGGAGAATAATATCCAATTATAAAGGCCTAAAAAATCTTATCCCTAATATATTTTAAAATCAAAATCTATTCACCATTACATACACAGTTACACTCCTTCAATTCTACTACAATTTAAATTCCATGACTAATCTTATTAATCTAAATTTATATTCAAATCAAATTATAAAACCATAGAAAATTGATTCATCGAACATAAATTTTAAAACTTTTAACAATGCTATCTACTATTATCTTGAATCAAATAGATGAGTTGAAATTGTCTTACATGATATATCATTATGGCTTGAATTGGGTTGAAGTCTCTAAAATGCAACCCACTTTTCCAGTAAAACAGAAAGGAAATATATAAAGGGCACCTTTAAAAATATGTATTTGGTAGTTTCATTAGTGTGGTTGTATAATTTTTCAAAATATGGTAACTCCTCGAGGACAGTTGTGAAATTTTTTAAATTATTCATTACGTAGTCACACCATTTACTAGAATTTCTGGATCCGCCATGGAATACAAAGAGACCTTAAAAGGCATTAGGAAAAGACTTTTCCTTGAACTCCAAATGCTAAACGAATTTTATCTTGCCATCACTGTGATCAGATGAGATGGTTCAGTGGTGGATGCATGAGAGCAGTGGCTTGCAGAGATGTGCTTGTTTTGACTGAATAGAACTCTTTAAAGAATACATCCACTGAGCAGCAGATTAGGAGTTCATCACCCACAAAACAACGAGTAGACTGAACAGCTAATTTGAGTGCATGGAATGTAGCTTCAGGTAGCAAAGAACAGGGTCAGCCAATTAGCCATTAACTATGAGCTTAATGGAAAGCATATTCAAGCATCCCCAAGATAAGAAGTCTATTACTGAAGCTTCCACAATAATGGTGACCCAGGCCTCATTATGGCAGCCCAGCAGGATCACAAACATTGACGAAGAGGAGGATGCAGTAAGTGTTTTCATATGACCTTGTTATGGTGAAGAAGTTAGGCATAAAAACGACATGACACCATTCAACAACATGATACTAGTGGGTAGCCTTGAACAATAATCTCACAATCATCCTCCATAGCATTTCAATGTAGAGTGTATGGTCGCTACTGTGTGCATCAAGTAAACCACTTTCAAGATATTAAGAGGAGGTGATGAAAGAATCAAAAGACAGGCACCATGGTTGAAATATCAGTCAGACTCAAATTTCTTTGGCTATAAACCATGAGGAAAACAATATGTAAAACTGTTTGTAGTGAAATCACTGCAGCTACAACACTCAGTACTCACATATGGGATAAAAGATTGTTTGACAGGCAGTTATAGGGAAATAGTTCATCTCCAAGCAAAAAAGTTCCCATCTCTTCGGAACATGAGTTGTTCCATATCTCATATAACCATACAATTGGTGGGATGAGCAAGTCGAATATTAGGATGTGCAGGTCCAAAGGCCTTCTAGCATGATCTTGCAGACAGGCAACCCTTGCTTGGAGTGAGACCATAGGGGCTTATGTTCATGCCTGCAGCAAATGAATGCTTCGAGTTCAAAAATGGCATTGACCATCATTTGGGTCGAGATCTTGATTAATGATGCCAATATTTCAATTCATGGTATTGGGGTCAAGAAGATTTGTACATATGAAATGAAATGTATCCTAACTATCAAGAGTCTCAAAACAATGTTCAAGGGAGGTCACCGAACTGTCGCTAGAGATAGCTATCTTTCACAAACTAACCTACGGGAAGATCTATATATTCTAAGAAAGAAAAATCATCTCAAATAGCTGAAGTTGGGCTTGGCTTGAGCGTGGATTGGAGAGGGGATCATTAGTAAAGCACTAGACCTTTGTGACCACATGTTAGGAAGAATCAACAATGAGCATCCAACGCAACTGTGTAAAATTGTTAATATTAAAACATTGAATACCATAAAGTCTGGTATCTCCATCGTTCTTGGAGAAATTGAGAGGAACAAGATTTAAGATATAATATTGATATTTCGAGGACTATAACCTCTGTATCTTTGTATCTATCATGAGTTTGCTTCAACTTTCTCGGAACTGCTAGAGACAGTTTCGCTAATTCTAGAATTCTGAAATTTCATTTTCGATCAGTGGCTTAAGAATGTTTTTACGGAAAACACAATTCAAAATGTTTGGCATGTTCTTGAAGAGAATCAACAAAGATGGATTAAGTCTTAATCAAAACATGTATAATTCTGTAACTGATAATAAAAAATTTCTAAATTGATGAGGCATTTAAATATAAAAGTTAAAATTTACAGAGAATAAATTATGAAAATATTTTTCTTAATATTGCCAATGCATAGCAAGTTCAAATGAACATCATAAGTATCAAACTTTTCAACAGATTTTAGGAGAAAATTAAAATTTTCCATATATCTCCTTTATGCTATCCAGAGATGAAGATGATACACTATTAAGTTGCCCTTCCTCCCCCCTCAGAATTTCTTAGATTTCCAAAATCAGCATAACTATGATAGAAGGAACTAATATATGGAAGGAACTATAGGCAACATCCTATAAGGTTTCTAGCAAATAAAAAACTGTTACATATCACCTTTATGGCTTTATCCCATGCAAAGAGGGCCCAACCCCCACCCCAAAAACCTACCTACCACTAAGCTATATATACCATGCCTCTTCCCAGATAATGGGGCCAATTACTCCATCTCTTTCACATGCATTATCCTGGCTCCTGCTAACCTAAAAAGTCTGTCCTTTAATTGCTACCATTCAGTGATAGCATGTCACATAGTAATTCTAAATCAAGGACATCAGTAAGCTCATTCCCCTCTTTTAGTAACTCAGCTAAACAATCTGAAAGGGATTAAGAAGTGGTTTACAAAAGCAGAAGAAAAACAGTACTAACTAGCCCTGCAATTCATGGCTGGCCCCATTTGAACTTGGAAGAGAATGAAAATATTTCAAATGAGGGGTTACAAGGGATAGATATTATTCTTGAATATACTTATTAGAAAGAACTACTGAAAAGAAAGAATAAATGAATTTTTTTTTGTTGAGGAAAAAAAGGAAGTAATGAGTTTTAAGTAGAGAAGTTGGAGGAGATTAGGAATTTAAGTTAAAAGAAGCTCAAAGAGGAGATAAACTCTTTGAAGCTTTTCGGGAATGGTTTCTTTTCTAGTTATATCAATGTTTTTTGTTTATTTTTGCAATATTGATGCATGTAGAGGAACCTTCACTAACTTGATTGGGTTATTTTGTTGCATGTATTAAAGGTTTGGTTATTTAGTCGAATGAAACATAATCTTTCACTTCCTTCGTGTCAGTGTAAACTCATGATTTTTTTTAATGTGTCTGTAACTTGATAACAACCTTTTATGGAACTAGATAATATGTTCATCTTAACGGCTAGGTTGTAAAGTTTGCTGGAGTTTGTTGAGAACACCGCATGAGTTAGAGGATGGCTTCAACTAGATTGAACTCAAATGAAAAGAAAAATAGTAATCGAGTATTCCAATGTGCTGCAGTACAATGAGCTAGACAGACCATGCAGAAGTCTTCTAAGACTCTACTCAGTGCAAAAAGGTTCAGGAATCTGAAAATCAATCAAAAGCTTAATCTCCATTGTAATTAAAGAAAAATAAGTGTCTGTAGCAATTGAAAGCAGAAGATGGACGCTTGGCACTACTCATAAGATTCAGAACCTAGACGGAAAAGACTCGGAAGAAATACTGGAAAGCGTGCACTAACCTCAAGGGTCTAACAATTCTGGACGCGAGAGTCTCTCTTCATACGAGCACACTGTGAGATTGTTTACATAGAAATGTGGTCAGTTAGCGCCGGAGGAAATCAGATCCTTCAGCTCAAGCAAGCACGTTCTATCGTAAGTTATATATTTATTGGATAAGGCTTCTATAATATACTAATAAAATTATATCGTGAGATAATAGCCAACCAAGGAGCGATTTTGAGTAACCAGAGGAAAATACGGAAGACACTATCTATTGTAGCCGCCGAGTTATTAATTGAAGTTAGGTAATAATTTGGGAAGAGATATAGACCAACTTTTCGGAAGTCACATTATTTAAATGAGCTAACAATTGAGAGGAAAATCCCATTACATTGCGACGTTTTACGCGCCCGCGACCGCCCTACATGCACACCTTGGAGAGAGAGCCTCAAAATGCACTATTCACTCTACTTTTAAAAAGAGATCCATTTTTTCAAGGTGTGATGTAGGGGGGTGATTTTGGCCACCTCACTAGCCAAGTTCAATGAAGTAACTTGTAGCCGAAGTTTCTCCATATTTCTCATATATATATTATATATATATATATATATTTATATTTGTATATATATATATATATATTATATAATTTATTTATATAGTATATGTGTGTGGTGTGTGTGTGTGTGTGTGTGTGTGTGTTGTGTGTGTGTGTGTGTTAGAAGTAGAGGACTTACATGTTCTTCATTATGAGTATATGTCACTTCAAGATTTCCGCTTTCTGTGGCGACCCAAACCTGTAAAAGAAGTAAGATAATAGTTTTAACTTTTAATACAGTGATACCTCAAAAAAGAACTTTAAATACGGTACAACCTAAAATGCCAAAATGTTCACCTTTACTGTTTGATCTAAAGAACATGATAGCAAAAATTGATCCCAACATAACACTGACATGACAACCGATTTGTGGTCAGTGAGAGTATGGATGCATTGTAAGGTTGTAAGATCCCAAACCTGAAACATAATGCAAGAGATTGAAGGGTAAATATATGTTACAGACCAAAGTATCCACTAAGATTCAGTAACATGCCCTATCTTTCATGGTATTCTGAATTGGCAATATGGAGTCTACTTTTCTGAACAAATGAGAATATGGGTTAAGACGGAAAATCTAATAAATGAAAGCAATGGGAAAGGAAATAAGAGATTGGAAAAAAATCATAAAACTATCATATAGTTGAACATTAAACCCAGTTATGCTGATTATTCTACTCAAAAGACAACAATTTTCCACCAGGGATGAATTAAATCCAAGCTTCTGAAGGACTTCTTTACTGTCAAAATTCCCCATGCCCTAATTAATATTTTACTGCAGTGTAGTGCCCCTATTGTGTTTGTGCCTCCTATCCATATCTATGTTTCTTAGGTGTATCAAGTGTTATCAATGTGCAAGGGGCAATGTGGGGCCTAAAGTCCCTTTTATGCGCACATGACTAAGGCGCAACCAATGTATGAAATGTCGGCCGATATATCGCTACATAGGTTGATATATCGGTTTTGATGCTCTTCTGATACAATATTTATGAAAAAAAATATCGTTTTCCAATTTTTACCCTTTTTCTGATATATCGGAAATATTGGCCGATATTTTATTGAGAAAATATCAGCCGATATTGGCTAGTATCCAAATAAAAATGGTTATTGAGTTCGGGTTTGGGTTTGGTTCCCACTAGACCCAAAAACATAATAAATATCCAAATCCAAATACCCTAAATTATTAGTCAATCTCATATTTCTCTTTCCTCTTAATTCGGCACTCCAGCCCAAAAATGCTAGGGGATCTCAAGTACGCATCTCTTTCTTCTCTCTCCACTCTCTCTTTCTCTTCTCTAGTCCTCTCTCTCGGCTCTCTCTCAACTACCCCTCAGACTCCTGTCACTCTTCCTCTCTCCTCTCTCTCAACTTCTCGCTCCCTTTTCTCTCTATCTTCCTCTCTCTGTTCATGTCCTCTCTTTGATCTCTACATGTATCTGACGTCTCTAGACTTTGTATATCATTATTCATGGTGCAATTTCTTATGTTTAGAATACATTAAATATGTTTTGATTACATATTACAATGTTATGTTACATATGAACATTATCTAATATGACACCCCGATATTTTTTACATATCCCCGATAAATCCCCAATTTCCGCAATCCGATATAGATTTTGGCCGTCCTATATTTTCGATATTTAATATATTTGGCACAACGCGATGCACATGCCCGAGTGAAGCGAAGCGCATACTGAACACATAAATTTTCAAGATATATAATCAAGCATGAAAGAACATGTTTATGAATTTTCACACAAAAATATGTGAAGATAAATTATAAACACCCCCAATCACAAAATAAGGTATTAATTTCTAATGCTAACGCAACCAACCTAGCATAGTTTTCCAAATCAAAAGTCAAATCAAGACCAATATCGAAGTAAACTCAAATAATAAATGAGGATTAGTTAGAGTCCTCAATCGAGCTACTAAAAAGACCTAATGGGTTTACTTTGCTTTTCAGGATATGGATTATTGGGTATAAAGACCCCATTGAAATGTTAAAGAACAAAAATATACAAGGTTATGCCTTACATACACCTTGCGCGAAGTGCAAGGTGCTTGCGACGTACAAAAGGCACTAGCGCATCAGATGTAGGGCGCTTCGCCACCGCCCCACATCACAGGGAGCATGAGGCGCGCACCTTTGATAACACTGAATGTATCTAGAAAAACAGATTGTCGATAGAGATTAACTCTTTGAAGCTTAAGGGCCTGATGTATGTCCTTAGCTTGCATAAGGATTGACCTGTGGTAAAATAATGGATGAGTTGCTTCAAAATCCAACTGAAAATAGTGGCACTTGTTTTATTGGAGTGGAAATAATACTTACGAGAATACAAATAAGCCTTCAAGGTATAAGAATACAACAATCTCATTATCAAAAACATACTTATTACTAAAAACATGGATAACAGATGACATACAGAAAACAATTAGTTAGTCTTTAACCTGCATTGGTTCAAGAATTCTAAGATTTGGAATTAGTTCATAAAGGTGAAGAATCAAAAAAGAATGTGGTAAACTGCTTGCATGAACTACATAAAATAAGACAATAAGCAGGGTAGAACTCATGAAGCTGATAAACTATAATTTTCCAGAAGAATGAATATGACATAACAGGTAAGATAGTATTACTCTTATTGTCTCATCCATAGAACCAGAGTAAAGCCTCCCTGCTCCAATAACCAACGAAACTACAGCACGAAGATGGCCAATAAGAGAAGCTGCCGGTTCAAAGCAGTTCCCTACGACGTTAAACTTCCAAGCCAGTATACGCCCATCCTGCAACCAAGCAAAGAACATGAAAATTTAGACCACCAATTAGGATCGATATCATAACGCTCAATATAGTATCGAAAGAACCACATTTAAAAAATTTTAGAGTGGAAAGATGACCACCTGTGTTCCTGCAAATAGCATTTCATTACCAACCACCAATGCGTATACTAGTCCAACGGGTCCATCGAGGCTTAAATCAAGAGACGTTTGAGTATTCAAAGCCCTGACTGCATTAGTAACCCCGATAAAAATCCACGGCCCCTCACTGATCATGCAACCAACTTCACTTCCCATACTGACAACCCCAACACACTACAAAAGAAAACCCATATGAGACAATTCAAAATAATCAGCAAATTAAAATTCAAAACCATTAGAAAACATCAAGACAGTAATTTACTTGGCCACTCTGACAATCCCAAACCCGAACAGTCTCGTCCTTGCTCCCCGAATACAGCTTATCTGAGCCCGAGGGTAATGCAATTCCTGTAATAACCTGCAAATCTCAATACCCATCAAAATTTCAAACTGGAAAAGACGTAAAAGGGGGGAAAATCAGCAAAAATATCTCACCTTTTGGTGGCCTTGTAGAGGGGTAAGCAAAGAGAAGCTATCGCTAACAAACCAAGAGTGCAAGAACTTGCACCTCTCCCCGTAACTACAGTTCCCGGCGATGAAATAGTTGCACAATTTATTCACCTACGGCCGG